GCCTTACACTATTGTGGTTAAGGTTAGATAGTTGTTTGTTGTTGTGTGAGGCCTATATTTTAAGATTCCGGACTAGTTATAAAACTCTAGCATAACCAATTTAAAAAATTTTGCTGATCATATAATAGGCTGATTAACTACTAAAATTAAGTTTTTTATTTTTTATTTTTTTAGCACGTTTTTTTTCGATAATTTTTTTTGTATCGTTTTTTTGGAGCTTCTTTTTTTGGTCGCTTTTTCAGCACTTCATTTGTCACTTTTGGTGATTTTTTGGCACTCTTTCATCATTCTTTTGGAGTTTTCTGTTGTTCTTTGTCATTCTTGTTTAATTTTTTTTGTGTCGTTTTTTTGGAGCTTCTTTTTTCGGTTGCTTTTTCAGAACTTCTTTCATCGCTTTTTAGTGATTTTTTGGCACTCTTTTGTCATTCTTTTGGAGTTTTCCATTGTTATTCGTCATTCTTTTAGTGGTTTTTTGGTTCTTAATACTTTTTTCTGGTCTTTTTTTTTTTAGATTAATATTTTCTTTTGTTATTTTTTTGCTTTTTCGGTGCTTCTTTCACCACTTTTTTTGTCATTCTTTTAGTGGTCTCTTCATCATTTCTTCAGTGATTCATTTTACTGAGAATTCGACAGTGTAGTTTGGGTTGGGTTAGGGTTAGTTGCACACCTACAAAAATTGTTTTCTCTTGTAATTTTTACTGAGAATTCAATGTTATAATTTGGGTGTTGGGTTAGGGTTAGGGTTAGGAATAAATTTTCTATTAATAAAATTTTAAAAGAAGCATTTAATTAGGCCACAGAGAATGGTTTCTTAATAGTTATTTCTGTATTTTTTTGTAAAAAATAGCTATTGTTAATTTTAATAAATAAAGAATTTTTTTTTTTTATTAATGTATAATTTTCTTTTTTTTTTTCTTTTTTTTTTAAAAAAAATATATCTTAACGGTATCGTAGTTGTTAGTGTTAAGAAAAAAATTTTGATTAGCCAACATGTGATGAGCAAAATTTTTTAGGTTGGTAGCGCTAGGGGGGGCTGGACTAGTTACCACCCTCACAACGTACGTACTTGAAGAATTAGTGTTTTCTAAGTCGTATAATTCAAGGTTAACTTATGATTAATTTGCTGGTTTTAGTGCTCCTACGGACCAGACCCGAACCAGACTTTAGTCAAGTCTGAGTCTGGTCTGATTTTCAGACCGGACTCAGACTTTTATATTCAGACTTTTTAGTTGAGTCTGAGTTTGGTCTGGGTCTGGTCCGAAGTCTGCAGACTAGTCTGAGTCCGAATATTATTTTTGGTACTCCGGGTATATTCAAAAATTTTTGTAGTTTGCTTGTGAATGTATTTGTTTAACTGACTCTGGTTTAATTTTATTGGCACTCGAAAATTGTTGTTTGATTGCATTATCATCTTCCTGATCCATTTAATTTAACCAATTTGCGATTATTTCAATAATTATTGTCACAGTAGATCGCTTATCAAAATCTTTATTCATACATTTCGTAGCTAATTTAATATAACAATCTAGTCCTAAACATTCTGGTCTAGATCCACCGATAATTCTTAAGCAAGATCATCATTACTGCTATTTTCATAATTCCTGGAACATAAAAATTGGCCGAATGATTTTTCGGCCGATTTGATTAAATTTGTGATTTCGGCATGATCTAAGCTATTTTTGTATCATAACAATTGTTTTACTGATCATTAGAACGATAATGTCAACATTATTAATTTTCGTTCGAATGCTTAGTTTGCACGAAAATTTATGAATAAACTGTGCTTGTCAACCAACAAACCTTATTGAACATTTATAACAATGTATTACAAGAATAGTGCCAATATTAAAAAAATTAAATACGACTATGAAGTCTATTGATTTAAAAATGAACTTCGGGTTAAGATTCCAAACGATCAAATTTTTATTATATTTGTTAAGAATGCAAGAAATACATGAAGAAGTAGAAAAAAAATCATAGAAGAAAATTTATACTGTATATAAATACCTTTTTTTATATGTAAATCCAAGTCACTGTATGGCCTTCAAAGTTCCATCTCGGATTGTAATTCATACAAATACCAGTCAAGTTATTTCCACAATATTTAAGTTTTACATCATTCATATTTAGTAAACATGGTTTTTCTAAAAGCGATTGAAGTGTTGATAATCGGATCGACCTGGTCAATTTTTATCAGGTGTTCCAGAAAATTATAAAAATACAGTAGTGGTAAACGGAACTCCATCAAATGCTCTTTGTTCGGCCGAAATCTCTGTCGCGATAATTCCAAGGCCGTAAATATCTAATGCTCAAGTATACGGTTGACCCATCAAAACCTCAGGCGCTATATATGGTAGAATTCCATTCTTTACTTTTTTTGAAAGTCCAAGGCCAATAATATACTCCTCATGCAAAATATTTCCGCTGTGTAAATATCTGTGAACAAGTTCCTGCGAATGAATCGACTCGAGATTCAAAGCTATATAGTGCAAGATACCCTTTCCATTCCAGTTGTGATATTTATACAAGATTTTGCCGTAATGAAGCATAATCTATAACAATAAAATAGTCACCATAATAATTTCTTACTTCCCAAGAATGAAGGATTCTCGTAACCAGTTTCAAAGTAATTTTTCAATTCCTGGATAGAATCACAATCACTTTCAGTGCAACATCCCACCACAAGAATCGACAAATTTAAATATCAAGCCTGAATCTCATTCGTGTTAAAGAGCCTGTACCTATTCAAATTAAACAGTTAGAAGTAAAAACTTATTTAAATCTAACGTAATAAAATAGGGTTAGACAAAACATTTCTGGTACTTTCGCTCTACAGTTTAATTTGATAGGCCCAATAAGCACCACTCGAACCCTAATTTAGCATACCACTAACCTATAAAATCCAACTCTGCATCAGAAATTGGGACCACGACAATTTCAGATCTACCGCATAACCTAAATCTCGGGTGAATAAGCAGTAGCATATTTTGCCTTCCAAGTAAAGTTCGTGGGGATACTGATTATTGCTGATTATTTTTCCTAAAGTGTTCCAAAAGTACTTTAAAGTGTACTGTATAAATAAGCTACCGGGCAATTGATTTACAGGTCCAATGTCTGGTCCGGTGTATGTTTTAGCACATCATGTGAACAGATTTGCAATACAAATCTGCTCACATGATGAGCTAAGCCACAAAAAAACATACCAGACCAAACCGGACATGTTGACCTAGAATAATTTTATAAATATATTTCGAACTCGAACTAGTTCGCGAACTTCAGACCGGACCCGGACCGGACTCATAATTAAGTTTGAGTCTGGTCTGAAGTTCGAAACTAGTAAAATTTAGAGTCTGAGTCTGGTTCGATCCCGGACCGAACCCGAACCAGACCTAGGAGCACTAATCGTGACTGTGAAATATGCAACAATCTGATCTCTTCTAATAATCGACGTCAATAAGATCTCTGATCAGTGTAATGTGATATATGGGAAATTTTATGTATTCAGATTGTTATTGATACTCGAATTATACTATAACAAGATCTCGAGGATTATTCAATTCTTTCAATACCGAGGCATGTTCGTACATATGTACGTTCATGTCAATTATACATAAGTACATTGTTCACGTGACTTCGTATGATAATTTTAAATGAGTTCACGTATTAAAAAAAGTCCATTTTGACAAGTTTGAAAATTTTTATTTAATTTTTGAATAGATATAAACCCAATAAAAAAGTTCACTATAAGTTACAAAGCTAATTATAATAAAAAAGATTTACAAATTACTTAGTCCAAATCAAACATGTGAGCTACTCCAAGCCAAACATGATGGCAAATCCTTAAATCAGGTACAAATCGCGTACTGTATCTGATTTTAAGCTGATTGATAACAAAATTGACATCAAATCGGGTTGTGATCAGCTTAGAAACACCCGATTTGTGTCGTATTTGCTATCATTTACGGGGGAAGCCATATTTTAGCACGTGACATAGAGCCAATAATACTAACAAACTTTTGAAAAGCGTGGGCGTATACAGACATTATTTGAATTTGCGATAATGTTAGAAAGGAAATACCATATGAACATATTATTGTTATTGTTAATTTCTGTAAATTCCTTTTATCCATAGGCAACTATATTTATGTAATTTTATATTTATAATTATCAATGTTAATTAAACCATAAAAACTGCCAAAATCAAATCTAAAATATAATAAAATCGACCAAAATCTCAAATAATTTTTGCAAGTCTCGAACCTTATAATTTTACCATGCCACATTTTAGCATCGAATTTATTAGGTGCAAGGAGTATATATTAATAAAATTATAAATATACAGGATAAAGCAAATGAGAATTATTTTCGAGTAGAAAAAAATGAAATTAATTGCATTTCCTTAATATGATAAACAATTATGAAGAATTCTATCTTCACCAACAATCACTCCACCGATAGCCTATTTGGCCAATATCATATGTTAGGGTTTCGCTTGACATAATATCGACTAAAAGATCTGTCAATGAAGAAGAGGGAACCGTTAATTACAGTGGGATTGAGATTCTCCTTATAAGGTCTGAGCAAATGTCCCGAATTAGGTTCTACTGTATAAAAAATTATAAAAGTACAATTGTTATTAATAATGTAGTTATATAAAACAATGCAAAAGGCAAAAATACTTTGTAGAAATTTATATCTATTCTTTATGATTTATAAATAAATTGAAGTCTAGATGATCGTTATAAAAATTACATGGCTGCGCATTTTTTATAGAGGTTATTATTATATCCGGATATAGAATTTTATTAAGATTTATAACCTTTCAAGTAAAAGATGACCAATAACCCAGTTACATTTAAAAAGAATTCATAAATTGTGAATACATATCAAGTAATGAGATTCTGCTAAACTAAGAACAATGTATGATATTACTAAATTTACTAGATGAACCAATTTTTTCTGTCAAGTTTAGCTAATTAATGCCTAACCTTGTTTTTGGATTAGCAATTTGTAGGAGAACACCACTTATTTGAAGCTAATTAGAAAAAAAAATTAGAATATCCCGAGGCCACTATAAATTGTCAGAATATGAGAAATTTAATTTCTTACGTTCTACATCTATAAAAGATTTACCGATATCTGAGACTGCAGATGTCGTTTTCATATCTAATCTTTTACGAACGGCAAAGGCTGTAGAATTCGTTGAATAGTTGATAATTATGATGATTAATAAAATAATGTAGACACGCAGTTCCATAATGAATTTTCAGAAAGAATTTTTTGATATAATAAGTCCAGCTTTATTCAAGTTGCGCGGAAAGATTAATGAAAATAAAATATAGGATTGAATTAATTAAAGTGCAAGTCGATTTTAATGAAATAAGATTGCAGTAATGGAAAGCTATGGGTATTCTCAAGTAGCTTATAAATGAATTAGCTAGTGATTGTAGGATGCACAACCAAATTTAATTAAATCCAAAATAATATAGTTGAAGCGTTCTTACACAAACTCCAACGATGTGATCATCTTGTGATTGTGTTTATATTCAGGCGTTTTGATAAAACTTGAATGAAATCTTTTATCAATACTATTTAAATTTAATTTGTAAAAGAACAAATGGAATGGTTGTGCTTCGTGTCATAGAATGAAGGCTAAATATAGCATGCATTGACCACTCTTGAAGTTTTACTTTTAGCCTTTTTTTTCATTTACGGCAAGGTTTTTTCATTAGCAATAAGGTAATAATAATTGTTGCTAAACAATCTTACACTAATTAACCTTTTTCTTTCCATGCGCATTAATTAACATAATTTTATGTAACTTTTTATTCGCTATAAATAGTAAACAGCTTAAATTATTTTTAGAATAATTAAAATTGAATCTTGCATTCAAATACTATAAATAAATCGGCAGATCTGCCGTCTAATAAAGGAACCTATCAGTTATAATTCCTGTCAAATTTGTCGATCATATTTTTGTTAAATAATTGCTAATTTTAACCACTAATTGGTTCTATTGGATTGCAGACATGCTGATATCAATATGATTTAAGCTAATGCTAATTAGATTTTTTTTTGCTTGATCAAATCTTCTATATATGGATACAGTAGGTAGTGTAATGAAGTTTTAGATGTTCATACGTATCATCTTTTCCCCGAATACAGATGATCTTTGTATAGAATTCTACAGTAAAAATTTCATTGCAATCAGGTGTTGGCAAAATATGGACATGGACAATATGGACCATTGGACATTAGGGTGTTCGGTCAACTATGTAAATCAAAACTATATGCAGTACCATATAAAAATCAATTAATAAATTTTTTTTTCGAATTTAGATATCAGTATATTTATATCACTTTCTAAATATATTTTAATAGTAAAGAACGATTTGTATGTTTTTCTATTATTTTAGCATAAATCAACTCTTAATAGTTCTTAATATGAGTTAAATTGAAATTCAATATTAGTGCTAAAAATTTCAACGTAACTTGATTTATACTAAAATTGAAAAAAAATAGTGATTCTCTTTAGACATCTATAAACATACAAAACATTCTTTACTATTTTAAAAGTGATAAATACGTAATCACGATCAATATCCTGATCACTAAATTCGAAAAAAATTCATTAATTGATTTTTTATATGGTACTACATATAGTTTTGATTTACATAATTGTCCGAACATTCCATTGTACATGGACATTTATGCATAATGTCATATTTTCCTATTGGACATAAGGCTCTTAATCCAAAATCAAAGATGTGGCTTGCACTCCCAAAATTAAGTAAATGTCTGAAATATCCCGAAATATTCGACAAAAGAAGATATGGACATGGACACTGTTTAGATTAGTCCATGTCCATATTTGTCCAAGCTCAAATAAAACTCATTTGACATAGTTCAAATGCAACACTGATTGCAATAGAGATTTTCATTCAATTTTTATATACCATAAAGGTAATTGTAATTGGTAATGTTTGTGTCGTTAAATAAAACTTAAAATGAAACTATTTTTTGAAATGATAAACCACCCACGAAAACCGAAACCTCAAAGCCTTCCTGCGAAACCTACAAAAGATGAAACCTCTACAAAGACAAACCTTTTTTGTAAAAGATAAAATTTTCAATAAAGTCAAAGTCCCTATTAAGGATGAACTCCTGGTAAAGACAAAGCCTCATAATCTTATCATTGTTTGGATACGAAGTCTTTATTTTTGAATAATCGTTGAGTAATATAAAATAATCAACTCCACCTTAAACCTCATAATATATGTGCATCGTGATTGTTAAATTTTAAAGTTGATAATCTTTAGTTGTCTAATTTAGGTGTAAATTAGCAAATAACGAACATAAAGAACAGAAATATTCGGTAGGTTTGAGTACATAGATAATTAATAAACATAAAAAGATACTAAGAGAAGTTCTGTTTATTACATAATTTCTATTTATTAGAAAGGCGGATCTCCTCCACCTTATGTAATCGAATTATAGATGTGATAGCCTTTAAATTACGTAATAAATAGCACTTCCCTAATCATAGACAAAAATAAACTAAATAAATTAGTATTACTATAATTTAACAAGAAACTATCTAAGGTAATAACTTTTTATACTTTAATGACTAATTCTGATAAAACCATTTTACTAGCAAATAGGTCGATTTGATCGATCGGTCTGGGCTTTTTTACGTAGCCTTAATTCTGCCTAACTTTTTTTTTTTATCATTAACAAATACATATCGCTTACAGTAATTTATAATCTTATTACCATTATTTAATAAAGTAAAATTTATTTCACTACAAAATATAATATAATATAATAATCAGATTTGATTACATAAATTATTTAATATTTTTATTTTATAATTTAATTATCTATCATTGGTTTACTTAATTGGTTTGTTATTTTGTTTTTTAAAAGTTTTTTTGACGTAACCTACAGGTTTCATCTAACAACTATTCTCTGTTTTTAAATAGAACCCTAAATAGTATTGAGGTGATAAAGAAGATTCTTTTTAGCCTTCGATAGTCTGCCATAGATCCGCCAAAATACCTGTGCATACATCAGGAAAATTAAGTGTAAATCTGCAAAAATCTGTATTTTTGCACATTTGTGCGTATTTGTAAAAATCTGCAAAATTCTTTAAAGATTTAAATTTTTTTAGAATTACATTTAATTTCCGCATTGTAGAACCAGATTTGAAGTTTTGCACTGATATTCATTTGTTTTATTATTTAATTTTTGCAAACATGCTCAGAACTGCACTAAAATTTTTTTTTAATGTATTTGTAGCGTATTGGTAAGATATCAGGATGTAGGTGGATATCGGTAACGTAACGCATAATATTGGGATACCCAATATGCACTCTTGATATATAGGCGGATCTATGATAGACTATCTGGTACATATCAGGAAATCAGGAAATTTTTAAAAAGGGCGGATATCGATTAGCAGCTGCAGAGGCGATTGCCATCGATTGGAAATCGACAATAATCGATATTGGTAGCTAATCGATTAAAAAACATTCGATTTTTAATTTAATTTTGATATCAATCGATTTCAATCAAAGCGATTCTAATTAGCAGCTTTTTTGTCAATCGATTTTAGCCTGTATCACTGGTAATCGGCTATCGATTGACATTTCTTTCTGTCAATCGATTGCCAACATTTCCTGATGCAGTATGTACCCGATATTCGTTGATCCAACCTGTGCTTTTTACTAATTTACAAATATGTTACTTGTTTTGCCCTTTTTTTATCGGATTTTTTTTATTAATCGTTAAAGACCATAAAAATCATAGTGAAAGAATTTGATAAATTTAAATTATAGCTATTCATGTGTTTAATATGGTAACTAATAAATTTTTTAAAACTCATTAATGTTAATATTAGCATTTAAATTGGGCTAGGTGCTAGCAAAATGTATAGTAAAGTTATTAAAGAAACTTCTTTGTTAGATCATTAAAGGCTTTTTTCTTATACTGCTTTTTGAGGAATAAGCGATTTTGGCAAACAAATATTGCTGATCTTGAAGTCTTATTTATTTATATTATAGTGACATTGCTAAATAAATACTAAATTTGAAATGAAGCGGGGTAACTAGTTCAAGCTAGGCATCAAAGCTGCCTATTTCTAGTTTAGTAAACAAAATTTTATGTATTCTGGTTTGTATTACACATAATTAGATTAAGTACAATAATAATCTTTTCAAAATGATAGCATTACCAAAATGAGTGTCTTTTCGAAATATTTAATCATAACAAGTTCTTATTTTCATGTCTTCTTGTAAACTGTCACATTAAAAGTATTACCCATAAATTGTCTAAAACCATTATTTGAATACTCTACTTATATTACATCAATTACTTGTTATATATTAAAAGAAGGAAGTAAAGTCGGCAGGAGGGGTTTTTCGGATTTTAGGATTTTCAGTAAAATAATTTAGGATGGCTTCTAAAATAAAGCTATATAACCGAAAATAGAGAATTTTTCTTATTGCACAACAATGATCGATATAATCATTGCTATTAAAATTAAAGCGAATAAAATTGAAACCTTACAATGAATTCAAAGTGTCGATCATATCATTTCAAACATTAAATCGGGCAATGTCATAGGCGATCAGTAATTATTTTTTTCACAACAGTTATGTAAAATGGTCTCGATTTAGGGTTTGAATTGAAGTAATTATCTGAAAAATTATTTAATATCGCTTGACGAATCAGAGATCAATGGATTCGGTTATCATTGGTCACTGCTAAATATTCAAGTATTGCTCACTATCCTTACCAACTGTTTCTTGAATAATATAAATGTACATGATTGGGCAAAACTTGTCGAATACGGTAAATTGGCAAATGAGCACGTGCCGCTTTGCGGCACGTGTAGCCAATCATTTGTCAAATTACCGTATTCGACAATAATGGTGTTATCCGGAAATTTATGATCATGATTGGTAGGGAGTCGCTCGCTGAGTTTTAATTTTGAATACTGGAATAAACATAATTACATAGTAACACATGAAAAAAATAGCAAAAAGAAATTTTTTCATGATCATGAGTTTGTCGGATAACTATTAATATTGATTGACAAATTTTAATATAATATATTCCCAAATACAATACCTGGTTCTTCACACAGTAGCCACCTAAATTTTATTCCAAATCAACTTTATAATTTAATATGAGCGAAAAACTTATTATTGATTTCTTGTATCGATATTAGTAGAATTAAAATAAAAATCAAATTATAATTAGATGATTATAACTATATGTTATCTTTGTCAAAGTTTAAAATTAAATATTCGGACGCTTTGTGTTTATTCTTTTTAACACCCAAATTCTTTATATTAATGACCAACTATAATTATTCCATCATCACCCATAACTGAAATATAACACAACTTGCTTTACCGTTACCAATTTAATCATTAATATAATAAACTACTGTAAATGGCTGGGTACAAGATCCCCCTAGATAGTAGACCCATTATGTACTATACCAGGGTCTTGAATATATAATAAAGTTTTGCTAAAATGTAAAATACCCGGGATATACAAATAGGAAAAAACTATGAGAATAATATGAAAATAGATAAACCTGCCAATTATCAGACCCACATCCATACCAGAGACCCGGGGTCTAATTTTCGGTTTTAAAATTGGTGAAATATAACAGACCCGTGTCTTGTATCCGGCCATTTATGGTACGTTGTAGATCTGCAGCTTGAAGCGAATATGTTCCAAAAGTGTATTTAGTCAATCGTTAGTACTTTCACATTAGTAAAATATAGGGCAATTTAGGATAATTTAAAAATTTTAGGACATCCAAAAACAAATCTTTTTATTTTAGGATAATCCGAAAACCAACTTTAGCCATGAGGGATATGCTCGCTCGTCACTTTCATAAATATTACGACAAATATTAAAAATCATTCAAATAGTTGAATATTCGTTAATTACAATATTTTTACATTCGCATAAAAAAATTAAATATAGATATAAATGTTATAAATAGTAGTACAGCACTTAAAGAGGGTGTGCATTTATAGAGAACAAAATATATAGTGCTCTTATAAGTTGGGCTAAGCTATGCCGTGCATTTAGAGAGAATTTACATAGGGCATACACTTATAGAGTGTGTGCTTATAGAGGTCTTACTGTATAAGGGTAAAAGTAGTAAAATTTCTTTATACCGTATCCTGTCACCCACCTTTTGCAATCGGATCTGCATAATTTTGGTACTATTCGAATCAACTTATCAAAGCGATCCGAATAGTACCATGCTGATCTGATCACTAGATCATGAGAAATTTGTATATGAAAATTGCAAAGGGTGGGTGCTTATTCACGGCAGGATATGGTAAAAACACTACTGTTTTTTCATTAAATCTTAAATTTAGTTTTAAAGTAAATGCATAATCAAATACTCTTCGTAAGAATATTGTCTAGCTTATTAAACCTTGTAAAGCAAAAATTCTTTGTTAGAATACAGCATTACTCTCTTTCAATCATTCTTCGAATAAATTTGGTGATGAAGGAATCAAAGTTTTTGTAAAGGCCCTTCACAAAAATTCTACAATGCAATTTAATTGCATTAATGGAGGCAAAGCTTTGGCAAAGCTCTTGCAAAAACATGAATTTGACCATCTTGGATCTTTATTCTAATCATCTCGATTTTGAGTGAATAAAAAATTACTATAAATGGCTACCCCCTAGATAGTAGACACACTATGTACTGTATCCAGGTTAATGATGCCTGACTAAAGACGAAATAGTTTTGTCTAGACGAAATAGTTTTGTCTAGACGAATAACGAAACCATTTTGTCTGACAGCTTCAATTAGACTAATGATGAAACCATGACGAATGACGAAACTCATGATGAATGACGAAATTCGTGACACTCCGCAAATATATATATTTATGAGGAAAAAAATAAATAAAAATAAAACGTGTGGCTTTTGCTTTAGGAATAATTAAAAACTGGTTAGTGCATAAATATAAAATTTTGTGTTATTACAATTTCTTTGTTTTTATCGTTAAAGTTGTTTATATTGCACAAAGATTCAAAGATTTGATTTACATAAGAGCACCCATACTGATTTTTATATATTATTTTATGTGACAATTAGCATCACATAGTTACAACACTAATTACTAGGTTTCTGCAAAGTAGTTTGCATCAGAGCTATTGTGAGTTTTATTATTACTTGGCAGAAACTTGAGTTTTTGGCATTTACAATTATTAGCATGATAGAAAGTTATTTTAATTAGCTAATGTGGTACAACTATAACTTCAATTATTATACAACTAGGGAGTGTTAAATATCAGGTGATTTTTTAGGGGGTCAAAAATTTTGGAAATTATATATAAAGACCTGACAATTTTCATATATGAAGGTAGGGTAGGCCACTGATAAAAAAAACAGGTGATAAATGACACTGCCCCTATTTATATTAGTTTTAGAGTACCCCTATATAAAAATGTAATCACTCATATGACAAGTTGCCATATATATCACTTATGAGCGAATAACTTTCAGAATATATTGGTCTTTAACCTTACTAGCGGCTGGCAAATTTAATCAGATATAATCAGATTCCCAGGAGACTTCTACTAATACTGCATTTTTACTATTAGCCTAATAGTATATAGCTAAGTAGGCTCAGAAAATACTTTTTTTTTTTGGAGTTTTTTCTAAAAAGCATTATTTCAATAGCTAATTCATTTTTAAAAACTTGGAATCAAGCTGCCTTCAAAAGAGATCTGAACAATTTATAAAAGGTAGTTCTTGTAAGGCATAAGAACTATTAAATAAAAACGTTTAACAGTATTTAAAGATTTACTTTCTGTAATGTAAAAATTTTTTTTACACATTACCAAAAATTAGCAAACATGAGATATTCTAACAGAATATATCAAGTTGGTTATTGTTATTATTTAGGAATTGGTACAGTGTGGAACAGTATAAACCAACACATTTTTTTGTAAAATGTGCCAAATTTCAAAATAAATACTTAATTCTGATTGGCTAATATAATATAATCAATTGTGATTGGTCAAAAATAACATATGAGTTTCTTTTTTTATATAGTAAATGCCAAATTTTTAATTTTATAGTAAACTTTAAATTGATATATTTTCTTAAAATTAAAATAAAATAAAAATCTTTTCTAGCCAAATTGTAACTTAGACTTAAAGCTACAAATTGGCTAAAAATTTTTTTTAAATTTTTATTTTATTTTAAAGTTATATTAATTTTTGTAAAATATATATAAAAAGGTTTTGGTTTATGGTGTTCTGCACTGTATTGTTGAAGCTTGTTAATTCTATAGGAATTTGAAGACCTAAAAATTATAATATTGGTCAAGCGATTAATGGCTAAATAATAAAGATAATATGGGCTAGATGCTGCAAAAAGAGACCAAATTGACAATTTTTTCAAAAGATATTTTTTTACATAAATCAATTTAGAATAAGATTAGGATTATTTTTTACTTAAGACACAAAAGTAGTTGTATTAATAAAATTTTGCAGTATTGCTCTTTAAAGGTTGCATTTTTTTATGATTTATTATAAGCTTTATAACATAAAAATTGATTTTCCAATAATCTTTTGTTTTGTCAATTTGGTCCCTTTTTGCAGCACCAAGCCCATATTAACTTTGCTATGCTGATAAGGGAGATAAGCAATGTGGATGCTGTGTTGGTATCATGATAATTCTGTCACTACGACTTTTATAATTAGACCTAAATTAACTCCGAATTACATTTAATTTTCGCAATTAATATGTATTAACTATATGATATATTTATTAAAATTATTCTTAAATCTAATAAAATAATTATTGCATTAACCCATCTCAAAACTCATCTTCTATTTTTTTAAAGTCAGTTTATTTATTTATAAATAATTATTATTATTTAATATTATCGTTACTTAATATTTTTTAAAAATATTATTGTTATTTAATATTTATTCAAATAAATATAATTACATTAATACAACAGTCTCAAATTAAGCTCAATTAGCTAATAATAACTTATAACATGATTATAATCACACAATAGCATTAATATTGAATCATGTAATGGATAAATATTATAAAATTTGTTTTACCAGAACAAATAGTTGCTGAAATATGCTGCTGCACTGTATATATCAGTTAACCTTTTGCTCTGACAAACCAAATTCATGATATTTATTCATTGCTTAACCAATATCATAATTTTCACTAATTAAATACCATCCAGATCTTTTTTATAACTATTACAAATAGTAGTTTTCTGAATTCCCACAAAATTACCAGACTTCAGATAATATAAAAATGCTTTTTGCTTATTGATTTCAACACAAATTCCTAAATAATAACAATAATCAGCTTGGTATATTCTGTTAGAATTTCTCATTTCTGCTAATTTTTGGTAATGTGTGAACTTAATTCAATTAATTTATAACTACTACAGATTGCAGCTTTCTAAATTTCTATAGAATTACCAGGCTTTAGACAATGCCAATTCCTAAATAATAACAATAACTAACTTGATATATTCTATTAAAATACCTTATATCTGCTAATTTTTGGTAATGTGTGAAAAAAGTTTTATATTATAGAAAGTAAATCTTTAAATACCGTAAACTTTTTTATTTAATAGTTCTTATACCTTACAAGAACTACCTTTTATAGATCATTTAGATCTCTTTTGAAGGCAGCTTGATTCCAAGTTTTTAAAAATGGATTAGCTGCTGAAGTAATGCTTTCTAGAAAAAACTCCAAAAAAAAAGTATTTTCCAAGCCTACTTAGCTATATACTATTAGGATAATAGTAAAATGTGGCATTAGTAGAAGTCTTCTGGGAATCTAATTATATATGATTAAATTTGCCAGCCACTAGTAAGGTTAAAGACCAATATATTCTGAAAGTTATTTGCTCATAAGTGATATATACAGCAACTTGTCATATGAGTGATTATGTTTTCATATAGAGAGTACTCTAAAACTAATATAAATAGTTGTGTAATGATCGATGTTACAGTTGTACCAAATTAGCCAATCAAAACGACTTTCCTACAATTATCAAATGATAGTTATATAACTATTATATGATAAAAATATGATAAAAATATTTTAATAAAAAAATATAATAAATATATAATAAACATATAGTATATTAAAAGTATTATTATAATACTTTAACTATATTTTTGTAATTCTGTTAAGTCACTATTAACACGATTATTACTATATTTTTTTTTTTAAATTCGGCAGTCTTGCCATTACTGTTTATTAGTACTCTAAGGTATTGTGGTTACAAACATACATATATATATTTACAACTATCTAATTATTTACAGATAAGGCTTACTCGGTTACTAACTTAGTACCTATGTGTGACCTGCTATATGAGATTTTACCTCCTTAGTAACTGCCCCTTTTGACCAGACCAATTACTAAATCACCAGATGGTTTCCAAACCTATCATATATACCTCGCTATATATACTACTATACAATATCTACTAGCCAACTTCTACCCCTCAGTACTTATTACATTACTTCTAATTTGTTTCTTGTACCACTTCTAAATTGGTGTCTCTCGAGTGGGCGCTCTTGATGCTTCCAGTTTGGTATCCTTGGGATATTACTCTAAGGGTCTAGTTCGTATCTCAAGCCAGGTACAGGACCCGCTGCCACAACCAGGATGCTATTTTACGATTCTCAAGCATTAATATCGTACACCACTAAATTAGGCTACTGATTCTTTTATAGTACTCTCTATTGGTATGGTAATACAGGGGTCTGGATTCTTAGGATGAGAGTTAAGTAACTTATTTAATTACTGTTATAATCCAGTAAACCGGGACCCATGTCCTGTCATGTTTCGTCATAGACTTCCATATAGGTTGTGCGACTATTACTCCCTAGTCTGTCTTGATTTTTGTATCACCGGATTGTCTGCTTCTATACTTTTAGGGTTTCTTTTAGTGGTTTTTCTTGTTTCCTTGCACTAGAGGTGTTTTATATTTGGTAAAGCCATTCTCTTACCACAGCTCCATACTATGTTTACTGCTTCTCTCATCACTTCTAGATATACCGCATATAGTCATTCTCCCAATCAAGATCCCAATGCCGCCTTAGAGTTGTTGGTACTACCTTGCCAATCATGAATTCACACGCACAGCCTTCTGCAGTAATACCTTTCATGACCCATGTTATACACAGTGCCTAGTCTTCTCCATAGCTTGAGGCTCCTTCCAAGAATTCTTTATTAGCCAAATATGTACATCACATGGTCTTACTGCCACAGGGTTTCGCATTTGAAAGCTCCCAAAGGTTTCAGAGATAATTAATTAAATTAATTACCACTAGCTGTAATTGAACCGTTGACCTCATCTGTGGAGGGTTAGGTGCCCAGACCACTAGGCTATGATACTCTAACCCACAATTATTACCATATATTTATAATATAATTATAATCTAAATATAATCTAATATTATCTTGTACTTATCTAATAGCGATTAAATAATATAATATTTTAATAATATAATAGCAATCTGTTTAAAATAATTAAATAATGTTATTAATATTTTAACACTTAACAATATAATAAAAATATTGTTAACAGTAACATAAAAGATTAAAATTATTTTATCATATTTTTATT